AAATAATAAATAATAAATAAATATTTTTTATGTTATATTTATCAAATATAAATGCCAAATGAATTACAGCACATATGTATTTATTTTTTCCTAGGCCATTAACACTGAAAGAATCTCAATAAGCTTTGGTTTTCAAACCGGGAAACATCATTAACGTATAACACATATGAGAGAATTATAGAGCACTATGTACTAACTTACCGTTTTCGAGTTGTTGGTACTGAGGGATATACAAAATTGTGAAGAAGGTGAAATCTTCTTTATTTTAGGTGAATTATTCTGTCGCGAATACTATAACTATCTTCTGATTAGTGATCAGAGAGTGCATTGTAATATAACCACATTGTTTATTCTTCTCTAACAAAAAAATGCTTTATTTTTTTCAACCATGTTTTAAAAGTTATTTGTAACACTATACAACTTACTATTACATTAAAACCAAAAAAAAAAAACTTATTATTATTTATTGGTTGTCTCTAGGTTTAATTATAACGAACAAACGATTATTAAAAGTAATAAATATACACTGCATATAAAATACAAAACATCTTTATTTATGAAACATTTTTATTTTTGTTTCCTAAAACATCTATCTGATATTATAAAAGCGGCTGGGGAGCACTTAGTTTTGATCCATTAAATGCTTTGACAAAGCCATGTGCGATGTTCTTGTTCTGGCTGAACTTTCTATTTTGAGTTTGAACCAAAAAATATCTTATATTCGTTACTTTCTAAAAAATAAAAGAAACTTCTTAATAGCCCTATGTTCTTGTCTCATTTTTTTGTTATTTATTTATACTAAATGATATCTAATCGACATAAGTACATAACCCAATAGTCTGAGAGAATAAATCGAATTAAACTACAAGATGCTTAGGCATTATTGAGAGCATCTCCAATCCAATTCCATAATTCACCTTTAATCAATGTCTTTAAAACCGGACCGGTGATCGAACCGGAAATATTTTGGATCATAAGTCAATATGGTTCAACCGGGTTTGACCTGCTTCAATCATATTTTCAAAATAATATTATAATTTTATATATTTTGTAACTGTTTTTATATATATTGTTTCCATTTGAATCCAAAGTTTGAGTGATTTGGTAAGCTGCAGAAAAAACTTAAAAGCATAAAGAAACAAATACCTAGCATAACTAACGCCAATCCATTTCAAAGAAAGTGAAATTTCTATTAATTTGTTTGCAAACCCGGTTTAACACGGTTTTTGGGTTCACCGGTTTCCGGTTTTTTCCCGGTCGGACCCGGTTTGATAGCCGGGTTAACTATCTACAGTTTTTTGTAATGACCCAAACCGAAAATGAGTCCGTTTATGGTTGAACCCAGTCCGACCACCGGTCCGGTTCGGGTTTGAAAACACTGCAAAATAGTCAATGTTTTTAAAACCAAACCGGTGACCGAACCAAAAATATTTTGGGTCATGGATCAATATGGTTCGACCTGGTTCAATAATATTTTCAAAATAATATTTATAATGCCAACAACAAAAATGCCTAGATTATCGTTCTAAAGACAAACTATGCCAAAATAAGATAAACTAGTTTAAAATGCCTCGGGACTGATCACATACATTAGTACATTTGAAGCGATGCCACTGCCAATTTTTTACTACTATCACCAGGGGCGTGCTCAATGCATAGAAAAAGAAGCAAATGCCTATCGCCCCCGCTTTACAAACTGAGTCTTGGAGCCAAACCCCTACATTTCTACTTGTCTTATTTGTTAAACATAAAATATATCTCTTATTTAGGTATTGATTCTTCCTATTAGTTGTTTATAAAATGATTTTCATGAATCAGTTTCATGTCCCTTTTTGTATAGGTTTTCAGATTTGAAATACCAGCACATTGATTTTTTTCTGTCTACATTTCTTTATTTTTACTTATTTTTCAAATCTTTTTATCACAAAAGTTTTCTAACAAACTCATCTTATATTCATATGAAAAGTTTTCTTTTCACCATACTGAATCTAGTTTTATAAAAAATTCAAATCTAAATAAGGGCCACATTTGTTTTTGAAAAACAAAATTAAGGTTATATTTTTTAATATTGCCTTAGGCCCCAAATATCTACGCACTAACTGATTATAACTTACCACTTTAACTATTTCATCATTTGTCACCGCTCTTTCTTAACTATTCTCCCATTAGTAACACTAGGAATGGTACCCCCGCGCAAGCACGGGGTTATTTGCATATATTTTTGGTTGTTTATCATCATATATATATATATATATATATACTTTACAAAGTATGCTTTTAATGTTCTTCCTTTATGTTTTGTTCTGTATATATGATATTGATCTTAATCAATTTATTAAATATGTATACAAAAAAAAAATTGAGTGATTTTGTTTTTTAAATGTTAGAAATAGTCAATACTTTATTTTTTAACATCAAAATCAATAATTTAATTTTATATATAACTTACTTTTTGATAAAAAAAAAATATAACTTATTTTTATTACTTAAATGTAAGTGTTATCTTTCAACAGTTAAACATTTTCTATGAAATTTTATTACATACATTATCCTTTATATAATATATGTTATTATGAATTTTCGACATTTTAAATTTTCAGTACATTTTTTTCTTTTAAAAAAAAATCTCTTGCATCTACTGTTAAAAATTAACTTTTAATCTTTTAAATATTAAGTTCAACCAATTTTTATTATTTATTTATGTTTTTTATATTTTTATTAATCATTTTTAATACATTTTTATATTTTTGATTGAATAATAAATCATTCAATGATATTATGAAAGTGTATATATTAATTAAATTATTAATTTTGATTTAATTAATTTGTGTTTTTTTTGCTGATGTGGACACTCTAAGAGGAGAGAGTAACTCTCTAATTATATATAAGAAATTTTCAGTATATTTTTTTCTTTTAAAAACAAATCTCTTGCATCTACTGTTAAAAATTAACTTTTAATCTTTTAAATATTAAGTTCAACCAATTTTTATTATTTATTTATGTTTTTTATATTTTTATTAATCATTTTTAATACATTTTTATATTTTTGATTGAATAATAAATCATTCAATGATATTATAAAAGTGTATGTATTAATTAAATCATTAATTTTGATTTAATTAATTTGTGTTTTTCTTTGCTGATGTGGACACTCTAAGAGGAGAGAGTAACTCTCTAATTATATATAAGATATAGCGGTACAGCAAAGATTAAGTGATAACACTTGGTAAGTACTAATGCTAAAATATAGAAGTACAAAAAATGAGAATACAATATTTGCTACCACTGTTTTTTAGTCTTTTACCGTGTTTTGTAACTGGTAATCGGTAAAACAATAAACCCCTTATTACCAATCAACCTTGCTAAAATGTATTACCATTTTGGACCACCACTCAAAGAGTCAAATCCATAAGAGGAAATATGTGAGAGTGAGAAAGAGAGAGAGAGAGAGGGAGTGATGTAGCTCTCGCTAGATATCTATGTTGAAATCGTATCAATGTTGACATCGTACTGAATCCCGAAGCCGGACAGCGGAAAATCTTTTCATTCAAAAAAAAGACTGAGAGTAAAAGGGAAGTAATAGCCAATGGAGGTTTGGATTTTGAAGTTTGGGCCATTTGGATTCCGAAAACAATAGATTCCGTTAGATTTAAGAGATCCTATGTTAGAGCAGAAATTAGCACAATTTCCTGAGCCCGTCACAATTAATAATACTATGTAAGCCCGGCCCGCTTCCACTTCCACCTCCTCAAAGAAAAGGAAGTACTTGGAGAAAAAGACTACATCCAAGAAAAATAGAAGGAGATCAACGCCAAAGAAGAATATTTCCAAAAGAAATATGGAAGAATATCTTGAGGAAGCCAACCTCCTCTCCATATAAATAGAAGACCCCCTATTCCTTGAAGACCATTCCACAATCCTCCACAATCACTCAAAGAGGCAAAACCCTAGTTATAATTCGTCCTTTGTTCTTAGCTTCTCTATTCTTTTCGTATTCGTCTCGTCAACCTTTCGTCGAGACGAATCACCCCTTGTACCATCTTTGTCTTTGGTTGATCTAATAAAGAGTCTCTCCTAAACCTCACATCTCTTATCTTACTATTACTGTGTGATTTTGAGATCTAACAATTGGCGCCCACCGTGGGGCTGGAGAAAAAACTCTGAAAAAAGTCAATCAAGGTTCAAAGATGGCACCTCCAGCTGATGATCCCAGCATCAGAACAGGCGGACTGCAAAGTCAACTCGGCGCAGATGGAAACCCCATCGTCCATCCCGTCGAAGTCGACGCGACCAACGGTCACGTCAACCCTCCGCCGCCACCGGTTCCTGACGTAGAAGCTCCCGTCACGACCGCCGCGTTAACCGCCGCCATGCAAGGCTTTGCTGCTCAAATTGCTTCTCAATTCGCCGAGATGCAAGCTCAGCAGCAAAAGTACAACGACAAGATCGACTCCCTCCACGTCACCAGCGACGGACGAGTCATCCCGACGGGACGAACTCTCTTCCAGACGCCGACAAGAAGCACCGCCGCGACTGGCTCCAATGCCGCGACGAATGGTGAGAAAGACACCGACCCGGAAGTGGCCAAGCTGCGCCGCGACCTCGACGCAATCAGCTCCAAAGTGCACGACGCTATCAGCTCGGCACCCGAGATTGCCAAAATCCTCGCCGAGACGAAAAGGAGTCCTTTCACTCGTCGCATCGCCGCGATACCTCTAAAGGATCAAACGGCCCTCCGTCTTCAGTTCTACAACAATGGTGACGATCCTCGAAACTGGCTAAGAAACTTCGAGATGGCCATGAGAAGGCAAAATATGCCTCCCCCGAAGAACAAGACGCAAATTACTGTCAAGTGTTCATCGAGCACATGAACAAAGACGCGACGAGCTGGTTTTCGAACCTTCCCTGCCGAGACCATCGACAACTTTGATGATCTCAGCACGGCATTCATGAAACACTTTGGCATGTTTATGTCAAAAGGCAGCACCAATCTTTTCACTATGGCACAGGGAAAAGATGAGTCTCTTCGCAAGTTCGTCGAGAGATTCAAAACAGCAGCAGCAGAGCACTCAGACATCCCTGACGCGATAGGAATCAAAGCTTTCGAAAACGGGCTTTGGTTCGAATCAAAGTTGAAAGAGAGTCTGATGCTCGACGAACCCGCAACCCTCCAGGACGCTTTGCACAGGTCCCAAAAATACGTCTGCGTTGAAGAAAGCAAGGCGCACCACTCAAAGATTCATGGAATGACGAAGGAGTCATCTCGGCACGCATCATCTCGTCAAGAGTCTCATCAAGAGTCATCTCGTCAAGAGAAAAAAGGAGGCCTCTAAGGAGTCTTTACACAGGGCAGCGAAAGTCCAAATGGTGCAAACTCCATGGACGAACCGATCATACTACAGAAGAATGTAGGCGCATCAACAGCATGATACTAGAGTACGCAATACTCCGCAAAGCCACAATGATGCTGAACGCCGCGACGAAAATCGACGAGCTGCAAACCAGCGCCAAAGTAGAAATACGACGCCAAGATCGAGACGACGACGCCGAGAAGAACGCGCCTGCATCACTCCCTCACCAAGATGATCTGCCTCCGCCGCCGAAACGGCAAGTCCGATAAACATCTCGGCATCAAACCGGTCTCAAGCACGAGACCGAGAAAACGAACTACGAATGGCTTGATCCCGGCATGGGTACGTAGGCAGCCTTTCCAAAGGTTCAGCTATACCCCCAATAAAATTCTATAATCCGTCTGACGAGATGAGCATTGTAAAATTTTATTCACCTCCAAAGGCACACGTCGACGTTCTGGCCAAACCTCTCGACAACACCGATCTCGTCATCACACGAGATCGAGCGGTCTCGTCATCACACGAGCCCGAGAAAACACCGATCTTGTCATCCAAGATCGAGCGGTCTCGTCATCACACGAGCCCGATAAAACCGGTCTCGCCAAAGCGCGAATCCGAGAAAAACATACGGACTGATCATCCATGAGGAGTAAGCCGACGCGAAGCCGTCGCGTCCGAACCGATGGGAATGCCTTCAGACTTTGGGGTGAGCCCGAAAGGTCTCGAAATCGAGTCTCGTCATCACACGAGCCCTAAGAACCGATCTCGTCATCATATACGAAATCGAGCGGTCTCGTCATCACACGAGCCCGATAAGACACCGATCTCGTCATCATATACGAAATCGAGCGGTCTCGTCATCACACGAGCCCGATAAGACACCGATCTCGTCATCATATACGAAATCGAGCGGTCTCGTCATCACACGAGCCCGATAAGACACCGATCTCGTCATCATATACGAAATCGAGCGGTCTCGTCATCACACGAGCCCGAGAAGACACCGATCTCGTCATCATATACGAAATCGAGCGGTCTCGTCATCACACGAGCCCGATAAAACCAATCTCGTCGAAGCTCGAATCCGAGAAAAATCGTCACAGCAATCTATTCTCCTTGACGAGACAAAAGAGTCATCTCGTCAAGTCCGAGAGAAATTATCAAAAGCACATTCTATTTGCGGACAAGATTACGTCACTGTACTCTTTTCCCTTCTTATGGTTTTTATCCCATAGGGTTTTTCCATATCAAGGTTTTAACGAGGCAGTGCGGATCTAAAGTCAATAACGCAACGCAGCATCACGTCAGCGCAGCATCGCGACAGCATCGGCATCGCGTCGGCATCACATAGTTATTATTAATTGCTCTTGAGCTCCTCTTTTATACATGAAGTTCGCCGAGATTAAATTGCATTTATCTCGCCAAACTGGGGGGGACTTATTGTTAGAGCAGAAATTAGCACAATTTCCTGAGCCCGTCACAATTAATAATACTATGTAAGCCCGGCCCGCTTCCACTTCCACCTCCTCAAAGAAAAGGAAGTACTTGGAGAAAAAGACTACATCCAAGAAAAATAGAAGGAGATCAACGCCAAAGAAGAATATTTCCAAAAGAAATATGGAAGAATATCTTGAGGAAGCCAACCTCCTCTCCATATAAATAGAAGACCCCCTATTCCTTGAAGACCATCCACAATCCTCCAGAATCATTCAAAGAGGCAAAACCCTAGTTATAATTCGTCCTTTGTTCTTAGCTTCTCTATTCTTTTCGTATTCGTCTCGTCAACCTTTCGTCGAGACGAATCACCCCTTGTATCATCTTTGTCTTTGGTTGATCTAATAAAGAGTCTCTCCTAAACCTCACATCTCTTATCTTACTATTACTGTGTGATTTTGAGATCTAACATCCTATGCGTACACCTTTAACTCCTCTCTTCTCTTCTTCTTGCTGCCTTTGTGGCTATGGACCCCATCTCGCTTCACCAAACACTTTTTCTCCTCTTTGTCCTTTTCCATGTCGTAATAGTTTCGAGATTGGACAAAATAATCACACGTGGGAAGATTTTCTCGCTTTCTTACATTCAATTTTTTTTTCTTGTAGGGTTTCCATATCGACAAACGAAAGAAATTGAACACTCTTCCTCGATTCAATTCGGATTGAATAAAAAAAAATTGTTTAGATTTGGTTTTGTTTGATGACTTTTGGTTTCGTTGGGTTATATGTCGATCCCACTAGATAATACTAGTAAATATTCGTATGTCGTTTTATATCATTTCTATAGTTTTTTTTTTCATCTACAAATCAACATATTCGATATTATATTTGAATATTGGTTATGACGCGACATTACCAATCATAGATCTATTGATTAGCTATTATTAGATTATTCATGTACAAAACTGTGAGTGTAACAATATTTTGATAAGGTTTTTGTTTTACTCTTATAAAATTTAGAAAATTGATGACAATGTTAGGAATTAGTTGCAAATAATTAATACGAGTTGAAATAAAATCGACGAATCTACGAACTTCCAAAGTCGAAATCAGTCGAACCAAAACGAGTGGGCATTAGAGGTGTTCCTTCAAGTTGTGGGGTTCGCATATCGACCCCATATGTTACCACTTTATTGTTATGTTATAAGAGCACTCCAAAGTTAATTGTGTTTGTATTCAAACTCAGTTAACCACTAAATTACTAATGCTTTCTCACATTACCATTTTCGTGGAGATCCAATAGAAAATAGACAGACAAGTATGACGACAATTGAAAATATTCAAACTATGTAAGAAGAGATGGTAAATAAAATAATGGAACCAACACTTCTCCTAATACAGCCAAAACATAACCTCGGGAACCTCTTCCTCCTGCCAACTATAAAAACAGACACCACCAAAAGGATCCATTGATGTTATTAATTGTTTTTGCTTTAATCAGTATTTGTTGTTTTGTGATTTTATTACCTTATTAGTCTCTATTCCCATGGCAATTTGTTAGTTGGACCGAAGCCAAAATTGATTCTTGAAGATGTATCTATCTTGTGAAAGTTGTAGTTATCAAATATGAATTTCTTAGGTGCTGTCTGCGTTTGATTTAGATTATTTTTTCTCTATAGTTTTTCTTTTAATACTTGATGGTACTTGACCAGTACAGAAATAATACTTGAGTTCTTGAACAGTACACTTAAAGAAAAGAAAATTAAACAAGAAATTAAACTTGTGAACAAAATTTGATAATGTAAGCCGTATTAGTTACAAATAAATATTAAATTTATCAATTTATTTATTTCATATAACACTGATTTTAAATAATAACAATTATATATATATATATATATATATTTTTTTTATAAAATAATAACAATTAGAATTATTATTCCGATGGGGGAAATGTGTAGCAATACCGACACTGAAGTAAATGGAGGAAGGCCCTTTTGTTAAAAGATTCCTTTTTGTATTTAAACCTTTGTTTTTTATATCAAAGAATTTAAATTTCTTTTTTCTACCACGATAAAAAAAAAAAAAAAAAAAAAAAATCTAACAAATATGGAACCATACAGTGTGTGTTATCTAAGACAACTAATTTGTGTTATGTAAATCAGCTTGATTTATGTATTTATTTATTGACCACTTACGTAAGAAACTTTTAAGATAGTGCACTGTATATAATTTAAATTTGATCCATCTATCCTTGTTTCTCTTCTTTCTTTTCTAGTTGTATTGGTACGCTAATTTTGATTCCTTGTAAACCTTTATTCAGTTAATTCAAGTAAAGCTTTTAACTAAATATAAAAATAAAAAGATTTCGTAAGAAATGACGGATGAAATGATGCTACAACATACATTTTTAAAAAAACTTGTGGTTTAGTCTATACACACATTTGACAATCTTGAAATGATTGCAAGATTCTGATAAGAATGTATTGTATAAGATCAAGATTGAATCTAACATGCATGAATACCAAAGCACATGAACAAATCCTCATTTAATTTAGGGAATTAATTGTCGTCTAGTTTTCTTTGTCGTTTTGACTGAGACCAAAAACTGAGTTCAGTATATGTAAATCTTGACACTGCTAACCTTATATAAAGAGATTAATATGAAATGAAATCCCATGTGGCACAGCCCTTCAATACAAAAAGCTGAAATAATAAAATATAACTAAATTATTTTATAAAGAAAAACAAATGTACACAAACAAGACTTGAAAGCTTGGTTATATAAAGACATAAAGGAGTCTGTGTTCCCCCATCTTCTCAACAACACTCACTCCCACTTCTCCTTTTTCCATTCATTTAAACTCAGAACAAGACAAAACAAAAACACTCAAGAAAAAAAAATGGCGATAATTTGCAGGTCAACAACAGCATCTCAAGAACACGAACCAAAACAAGATCTTGAAAACGACCAAACTCCTCCACTAATCTTCAACCCTTCTCTTCTTAACCTCCAATCTCAAATCCCAAACCAATTTATTTGGCCTGACGAAGAGAAACCTTCCATTGATATTCCCGAGCTCAACGTCCCTTTCATCGATCTCTCAAGAAGCCAAGACTCAACTCTAGAAGCCTCTAGTCTCATCGCGGAAGCTTGCACCAAACATGGCTTCTTCCTCGTCGTCAACCATGGAGTCAGCGAGTCGCTCATATCTGACGCTCACCGTTTCATGGACCGTTTCTTCGACATGCCTCTCGCCGGAAAACAGAGAGCTCAGAGAAAAGCCGGTGAGAGCTGTGGCTACGCCAGTAGCTTCACCGGAAGATTCTCCACAAAACTCCCATGGAAGGAGACTCTCTCTTTCAAGTATTCCAACGAAAATAGTGCCTCGAGAACCGTTCAAGATTACTTCTCCGGTACATTAGGACAAGAGTTTGAGCAATTTGGGTACGTGTCCTAAAACATAACAAATAGCACAAAAACAGAGCAAAACCCCAAATATGTGTCATTATTTCCTCTGTTTTTCTAGTCTCGAATAAACCGGTTTCCTATACCAAAACAAATTAACCGGATATAATCTGACCGGTTTTGCTAATGATTTTCCCAAATAACATGATTTTCTATGTTTTTTAGTCTTGCTTGAATAACCGGTTTATTATACCAGAAATATAAGTGTGTACCGCTTTTGCTAATTATTTTTCCGGTTCTGTTATGCTTACAGGAAGGTGTATCAAGACTACTGTGAAGCAATGAGTTCTCTATCACTCAAGATCATGGAGCTTCTGGGGATATCTTTAGGCGTAAACCGGGAGTATTTCAGAGGATTTTTTGAAGAGAATGATTCGATAATGAGGCTAAATTATTATCCTCCTTGCCAAACACCAGATCTCACATTAGGTACAGGACCTCATTGTGATCCAAGCTCATTGACTATCCTTCACCAAGACCATGTTAATGGCCTTCAAGTCTTTGTTGACAATCAATGGCAATCCATTCTCCCTAACCCTAAGGCTTTCGTCGTCAATATCGGTGACACTTTCATGGTAATTAATAAAAGAACCGTCTAAAAATGGTTAAATACATTTTTGTTACTCGTACACAAATGGTTGATCAGTATTTTTGGGATTTTGTAGGCTTTATCGAACGGAATGTTCAAGAGTTGCTTGCACAGAGCAGTTGTGAATAGAGAGTGCGCGAGGAAATCGATGGCGTTTTTCTTGTGTCCGAAGAAAGACAAAGTGGTGAAGCCACCAAGTGAGTTTTCGAAGAAGATGACACCAAGAAGATACCCTGATTTCACTTGGCCTATGTTCCTTGAGTTTACTCAAAAACATTACAGAGCAGATGTCAATACTCTCGATTCCTTTTCAAATTGGGTCATCGCCAACAAAAATCTCATTTAAAAAACCAAATATCTAAAAAATCTTGTGCCTTTTTTTTCTTAATTACTATGTGCTTTTCGTTCTCATGGTGGAATGCATTGAATTGTATTTCATGGTTTAAAACGTTTGTATAATGTTCCAAGATTTAGACGAAGCATTACCGTGCTGCGGCCCATGAATTAATATTACCCTATTACCTACGTGCAAGGAATGGGTATGAAAACAAAAAAAAAAGTTCTTGATCTTTATAATTTTTTATTTTTTGAAATTGGGAAAAGGGAAAAAAAAATCCACGCAGCTAAAGTTATGTTTGTATTTTTACATCTAACTTATTATATTGATTTTGAGTCGAGTTCATTAGAGAATTACATAGAACAATTGAGATACGACTCATTACTTAGACATAATATACAAGAAAATATTCAATAAAAAGATGAATATTGACGATGCTTCCCTCGCTAACGGAATAAATCATGTTTCGATTATTCAAATTCAAATAGGGACTAAAAGAGTTTTAGAATAAATATATACATATTATGTGTACATTTTATTAATAACATACAATTAGTTTAAGGTAACAATTTTATTTCAAAGAAGGCGTCGTACTAAAATCTGTCTCAAAAAGGGATAATAAGTCTAGTACCGAATTGAGACGCATTACTAGGACGGGAATTCAGAAACCAAACTTGACGGAAACGGTACGGGACTTGTGTCATGTTTGGGAATGAATTTGATTGGAGCCAATTTGAGGAAAGAGAGTAAGAAAATTCCAAATACAAAGTACACCTCAAGTGTCATTAACCAGTGAGTCCAACCAAACTTATTAAGATTACAGACAGAAATCTGTGCAACATATACATCGACATGTAGTGTAGCAAGAGTCATCATAAAAAACAAAACACATGGGCCACCGAAACCTACCCAAGAATGTTCTCTTTCTCACAAACATAAGAACCAAAACCCTAATAATGCTCATCATCATTTGAATCTTGCCTGTTTGGTACCGTATATATCCATATGAAAACACCTTTGTATAGTGTTTGCCCAATTCACAACTCATTATTGAATTTGAGTTCATTTTCATTAAAACAAAAAAAAAAGCTTTTCTTGAACAGTATCAACTTCTGATAGATTTTATAAGAAAAATTAGGAACGATCTTCGGGAATTTAAAGTTTTAACGGATTATTGAATGTTGTTTATGTAACTAGGGAAAGAAGCCCCGTGTAAGCGCGGGGTTATTACAATAACAATTGTGTTTTTGCGTATTCATTGATTTAAATTGTGATAGTTTAATATTTAATTTAATGGTTACATTTTGAGTTAAACTAATTATTCACATTAAGGATGTTCAATATGACTTTTAAAAAATGTTAACTGTATATTTCATCTCTGGTTCTTTTTTCTAAAATTTAACATTTTAAATATTTATCTTATTCAGTTTCATTGGACTATAATTTAACATTGAACTTGAATCACATTTTGACTCGAAATATGGTAAAATATATATATATTTTTTTTTGTAGATTAGCATTTGATCACGGATCATTGATTCTTATATACAATTTTATATTTGTAAATTTAAATTATATTTTTAAACAAACATGTCATAATCCTTAAAATTTACATATGTTGCTTTTAACTTCTTATTATCTTTCTACTGTATTATCTAAATGATATTCTATATTTTATAACTCTTAAACACATTATAATGTTTTACAAAAGATAAATCCTCTATATAAATTTTGATCAATAAGGTAAATATATACTATTTAGAGTAAAAAATATCATTTTTCTTTCTCTAATTTATACTACAATTTCTATTAAATTTTATATCAAGTTATTACATACTTTATATTTCTTAATTAGTATTTTTTTAATTTATTTTATATATTTCTTTGGATTATATGTAAAGAAATATGAATAGTCATGTATTAAATATTTTAAATACAATTTATTGAATTTTTTGCTGATGTGAATAGGCTAGATGGAAAAAGCACTCTCATATTATATATAAGATTTCGTCCATTATGAAATAGAAATTAATGACATCTGAATTGTAATTTCTAGCTATGTTCATAATTCATTACCCATGTCCTATCATTTAACTAAAATCATTTACACTTTACTCGGACCAAGCCAAAATGACAATCTTTAACCTATAAATTATGTACTTGGTTCACACATCTCGGTAAGTAAATTAGGACATACCATGAAAACATAAACTTTTGATAAGCTTGTAAATTCCATACGTACATTATATAATGCAATTGAATCTATCTGACTAACGTCCATTAGCTTGTGGAGCAAACAAAAACATGACATGTAGATATAAAATAAATAGAGGCTGTGATTACATGAATCTGATAAATGCAAGAATAAGATATATGTTGATAATCAAGACGAAGAGAAGTCGGGAGGGAAATGGACAAAAAGAACAGCTCTATAATCTTCTTTGTATTCGTTATCACAATCCAAAACACCCCTCGCATCACGTGCACCCCTTTTGTTCTCTTTTTCTTCCTCGCTCTTAATTATATATCTTCCTTTTAATTATATTTGGTTAAGAAAAAAACAAACGAACAGATCTCTCTCCGCCGAGCTAGATGACAAAGTTTGGGATTTTTGCATCATGCACATTTGTCCAACTGTCTCCGATATCCGACATCTTCGCCACGTACTAAGAAAGATCAGGTGTCAATTGACACCCCTTAAATATTATAAAAGTGTGAAATGTATCTAAAAGACCAAATAAATCACTATCAAAAGTTGTGTTTATAGTCCAAGCTCGATTCCCATTATTGACCCCTTGACACATTTTTGCCCATTTAAAAACTTTCATGTATTGGCCACTGTCGACATCCAGAGTTTAGATGAGGCTTAAGTGATATATAAAAGACATGAACCCTTTACTTATTACCCATTAGTTTTGAGCTGGATGTCCAGAAAATTTAACATGGTATCAGGATTCGAAGACACACTACTCCACCGGAACCGACATCGTCCATCGAAAGAGACTCGATTAACATGACCTGAAATTGATCCCATAGTAGGATATTGTCAAAACTAATGGCTAGACAAACCATTCTCTCAAATGGGCATGTGAGAATATACCACATCCATAATTTAGATGGGACTTAAGTGATATATAAAAATATGAGCCACTTAACTTATTACCAATTAGTTTTAAGTTGGATGCTGATGAAACTTAACATTTTATCTCAAATTAATATATTAAACATTGATCATGAGATTGATGAGATCTGTGCATTCGGGAGATTGATAAGATATGTGCAACATTCTTGTGTTTGGGACCAGATTTAAACCCAATGAAAAAAAAGAAAAAATACAGCCTCTAGCGAGGTATGTAATCTAAAGGAGGAGGGAGGGCTTGGTTTACGACCCCTCGCGGAAGCCAACAAAGTAAGTTCTTAATTATACTAGGAATTTGACCCGCGCAATGCGCATGATTAAAACTATACCAAATTTTAAAGTTTATTAATTTAATTTAACTATAAGTATTTATAATTAATTATAAAAACCATATATTTAAACTAATGATCTATAATATTTGTTTGTATAGTGATTTTAATTTTGAAAATTTTAAAAGTAATGTTTTTAACTATCGGCTCTTATTTGCATCTCCTTAAATTTATAAGTATCATTTGAATATTATATACGATACATGAACTATTTTTAATTGATTCTTATTTGATACAGTTTTATCATTTACACGTAACATTTTCACATATTTCTATATATAAACAAATGAGCACAATGTTATACATAAATTTGTAAATAATTTTTTTTTCTTTGAATCTTCGAATACTAACTTTCATTTATTATTATTTAAACATGACAATATAAAGAGTTAATGGAAAAATTGAAAAGTCATGGAACATTTGAATTTTTTTTTTCCAAAATGCCACATGTTATGCTCACAACAACCGAAATTGCTGACATATCGCAATCATGAAAAGAGTTATTCTCTTATTATATAGTATAGACTAGATGTTATCCTGCGCTACGTGCAGGTTTCATGTTAAAAAATTTGCACTTTATTTAGCTAAAATTGAAAAACATATAGTATACAATATTAGAATGTAAAATTTATTTTTATATAAATATTATTTATTTGATAAATCTGTTCATTTGAATTTGCTATTTTAAATACAACATTAGACTTGCAATACATTTTTTGAGATGATTTTACAGACTAAAATATATTGTTAAAAAACAGAGTAAAAGGGTGAAAAAGAAAAACAACCTATTATTTTTCTACTTTGAACCTTCTAGGACATATCAAAACTGTAATAATTGTTTTGACTTGATTTTTTAAATTGTTTTGTTGTAGATTTGGATATGGATTTGTATGTTGTGCATAATTAACATCTAGTTATGTATAAAAGAACAGAACATAAACAATTTGCAGTACATATTATTACATAGTGAATTACATAGTGAAAAAGGCGATTCACCTTATACTGAACAAAGCAGAGTTTGTCAAAAAAAACAAAAAAAACAAATCAAAGATGTCCCTTCTCCTCTTAGTATCTCAGCCATATGGACTTGGTATTTTGATCATATGGTCAAACTCTTAATTTGATAATGTTTTCATGATCACCCTCTTTTGCTCCGTATTTTGGGTTATAAGATCTACTTCTCCAAGACATCCATCAACTTCTTATTTGCTGGAAATTCGGGCCACTCCGTTCCAATAATAATCTGCATTACTCAGTTATCTCTAACTAGGAATCTAAGATGTACTACAATGCACTACAGGAAAAAAAATTTTAGAAGTTTATGGTCATAGCTAGAAGTTGTAAATGCTCCTGCTGTTTAAGCCGAGAAACAGTGGATCAGGAAGAATAAGCAACTTTGCAGGTAAAACTTCGAAGTATAAAAACTTGCACACTCCCATACCTGCAACAGTGACTGATTGAGTCTTACTTTGAGAACATGATCTTTAAAGACAGTTTATGACAGTCATAATGGTAGATAAGAACAAAGAACCTGAAAACTTTAAAATAGAAGTTCATGAAAGTGTTGTAGCTGTGTGAAGCAGTGAAGGCCGAACTTAGAGAGTTGTTGGAACAACAAACAGAGTGTTGGAACATCGGCTGAACAGTTAAATCTGGAATCATTTTAATGACGTGTCTTGAGTCCCTGAGGTGGACTCGTACGGACAAATCCCACGACCTAGAAGCTGTGCCTTTCGACTGATATAAATACGGAGAAAGGAGGCGTTCTAAAGGTCAGCCGTTTAGAGAACAAAAGTTACAGGATAAGCTTTTGTTCTTGTTGAAAAACCGTAAGGGCATTAAATTGCAGATCGGTGTAGAAACATGGGATTAACTCTGTTGTTAATGTGTGTTTAGTGTAGATTAGAAATCAATTGGTAACAAGCTAAGGGTTGTCTTAGGCTGTTGTAATTCCAATTTAAGAGTGTGTAAACATCTTGAAAGATTTATAATAAAGAGAAACACGGTGCGCCGGTGTTTCGGAATCTATTGTCGAGTCCTCTGCTTTTTCAATTGGTATCAGAGCGGGCATCTGAACCAAGTTGTAGCTTTACAACAGGTGAAGATCCTGCGGAAAGATGGACTCGTCAAAGGAGCTGGTAGCTCTGCAGCAAATCCTATTCTCGAGAAAGGAAACTATGGTCACTGGAATGAAGATGAGAGCTGTCATTCGAGGAATCCATGAAGATGCGTGGACGGCTGTTGAAACCGGATGGAGCGCACCTACTGCTTAGGAGGATGGCTCACAGGTTCCTGAAGGATAAACTCTATGGACAGACGATGAGAAGAGTCTGGCTAATACAACGCAGAGCGATATCCGCTATCTTCAATGCGTGAATGAGAAACAATTCGAGCGTATCCAATGTTGTGAGTCAGCAAAGCAGGTTGGGACAAGCTGAAACAAGCCTACGAGGGAACTTCAAATGTTAAAAGATCCAGAATTGACATGCTTGCAACTCGTTTTGAGACTCTACGGATGGGGGAATCTGAGACTATTGAAGAGTTCAGTGGAAAACTCAGCTCAATTGCCAATGAAGCACAAAACATGGGAAGAAATACAAAGACAAGAAGCTGGTCAAGAAACTGTTGAGAAGTCTTCCCCCAAAGTTTGAGACGAAGAAAACAGCCATGGGAACTGCTCTTGACACAGACAACATGGACTTGGATGAGATTGTTGGCCATGCAAGCATATGAGATGGAAATTGCTCCAATTTGTCGAAAGTTCGAAAGGAATTGCATTTGTGGCAGAGAGCAACGACATTCAAGCTCAAGAACGAAATGGGGTTGATGGCTAAGAACTTCAGCAGAGCTCTTGAAAAGAGTAGAAAGAGGAAACAAGAACCATTCTCAAAGCAATCAAGTGGGGAGAGAGACAACGACAGAACCGGAAAAAGAGTGATCAACAATGTCATGAATGTCAAGGTTACGGTCATTTCAAATCTGAGTGTCCCACTGCCAAGAGAAAGGAGATCAAATGCTTTGAATGCAAAGGTTTTGGTCACACTAAAGCTGAGTGCAGCGGTTCTGATAGGAAATGAATGAGTGAAAGTGACTCTGAAGATAGTGTTGAAGAATCTGATGGGGTTGAGATATGTGGCGTTTATGGTTGCTATTGAAGAGAAATGTGACTCATCAGACAGTGAATCAGTTGAAAACAGAAATGAAGACTCATCAGAAGCAGAGGCAACTCTGATAGGAATGTCGTCTGAGAGTGAAGAAGAAGATGATTCATTGATTGATGTTGAACCGGAGTTTCGTAAGTTGTATGACAGTTGGTTGCTATTTGGTAAAGAAAAGCTTTCATGGATTGAAGAAAAAATAGCTTTACAATGTCAGAACAAGGATCTGCGAGATGCTCTAAAATCTGAGGAAGATAAGAACAATCTTCTCACTCAGAAGCTAGCAGAAACCAAAAAGAAGATTCTCATGTTGAATAGTGGAACTAAGGACTTAGACAAAATCCTTTCCATAGGCAGAGTTGGGAAGAGTAATTTTGGTTTGGGTTATCGTGGAGGAGAAGCCAGTGGGAAGACAAAGT